ACCAAAAAATACATGCGAAAGACAAACGTATTTTTCATTCCTCTGACTGTGTGAAAAGCTTTGTCCTTTTGGAGAAGCTTGAAAAACACCAGCTGGAGAATACCTTCAAAGCCACCAGCAGTGCAGCCAATGTAGACCGTGTGCTCACACAGCAGAGAACATTCAACAAAGTCAAAGAGAGTAAAAGGCAGCAGAGTAAAATACGAGCTAGAGCTCCAGGAAAGGGAACACCATCACATAGCAAAACAATGCAGGAGAAGGAAGAGGAGCCCCTAGATACTGATGACTCTGATGAGTGGATCGACGGTTTCAGTCCTGGAGGAGAGAAGCCTCACTACTGCTTTGACTGCGGTAAGAGCTTTAGAAAAGTGAGGGATCTTATAAGACACCAGCGAACACATACAGGAGAGAAGCCTCACCACTGCCCTGTTTGTGACAGAAGTTTCGCTAGATTAGATAAACTAAAATTACACCAAGAAATACATACAGGAGTAAAGCCTCACCACTGCCCTGATTGTGAGAAAAGTTTTGCTCGATTAGATAATCTTAAATTACACCAAAAAATACATATCAAAGAGGAACATAATGTCACACCGAACCATCAAACTGAAATGAATGTAGACAGTGTGCACACACAGCAAAGAACAGCCAGCAAAGGCAGGCAGAAGAGTAAAATGCAAGCTAGTGCACCAGGGAAAAAAATGGGCCAGTCACAGCCAGGAAAAAACTCAAATTACAAAAGTTCAGTTCAAAAGAATCAACACTCAGAAAAACTGCAACTACCCCAAACATTGCAGGAGAATAAAGAGGATCCTGACGATACTTCTGATAACTGGACCAAGAGTTTCAGTTGTGTAGAGAAGCCATACGTCTGCTCTGACTGCGGTAAGAGCTTCAGACTAGAGAATCGTCTTATAAGACATCAACGAACACATACAGGAGAGAAGCCTTACGACTGCCCTGAATGTGACAAAAGTTTTGCGCGATTGGATCATGTTAAGTCACACCAAAAAACACATATGAAGGAGGAACGTAATTTCCGCTGCTCTGACTGTGTGAAAAGCTTTGTCCGATTGGAGCAGCTTGAAAAACATCAGCAAACACACAAGAAAAGTTACCGCTGTTCAAAGTGTGAGGAAAGGTTTTCAGACCTGGTTGACTGGAAAGCACACTTTTTAGTACACCGAGAGATCCTCCACTGTCCTGACTGCGACAAGCAGTTCTTGTACAAGGGACTTTTTGAAAGACACAGGCGAACACATTTGAGAAAAAAAGTAAAATTTCTCTGCACAATATGCGGGAAGGAGATTCACAACTTTAAAATACACATGCGAGTACACACGGGAGAGAAACCATATCACTGCACTGAGTGTGGGAAGAGTTTTGCATATACAAAATCCTACAAAACACATATATTAACACATACCTCTGGAGAAAGAACAACCTATCCTTGTTTGGAATGTGGAAAGACATTTACTCGCGTAGATGGCATGGTGAGACACGTGAGGAGGGTTCATACTGGAGAGAGAAATCATCAGTGCAGAGACTGTGGAAAACGATTCTTCCGAAAAGAGTCACTGAAGAGACACACGCTAGTTCACACTGGAGAGAAACCATACCAGTGCTCTGTCTGTGGGCAAGGCTTCTCCCAAGATGGCGACAGAAAACGCCACGAGAAGAGGCACTACTCTGGTGTCTCAGATTTCCTCGATCTATAATACAGAAGTGGTGTTTGTTATTGCAGGAACCCACCCAATCAATGTGATTTCTAACCGGGTGTTCTTCCGCCTCCAGGTGGCCTGGAATTGCCACCACAGACTGTAGGAAAGATACACAGACCGACTGTTGCTGATACACAACAAGACTGAGGATTACTGTCTTCATAGCAGTATTTTGTTTTTTCAAAAGTCTGTTATTTTAAATAGATTTGTCAAATGTGTTTTAATATTTTGTTTCAACAAAAGCATAGTAGATTATACTATCAATAGCGGTCATTGTTAAATTATGGGCCTTCCCCATTGAGGGTTTGCAGTCAGTTATATTGTATTAAAGATGCACTATACAGAAATCGCTCTACCATTTTCCTGGTTGCTAAAATTCTAATAGTTTGCCTAATGTCAGTTTATGTGACAAAACAAGCAAGTATAGTGTACAATGATACCATCTATACCACTGGGAAATATATTTTCCATAACAAACAATATTGTATTTTCAGCTGTTTGAAGCTGGTGTACAAAACCGAAAGTAAAAGACGAAACTTCAGAACGGGAAGCATAGAAATGGCGCACATAGAACATATCTACCGCTTCTTAGACTTGCTTATGATGAGTGACAGATCTATAATACACATTTATATGTGAATTTGGTCGGGTCGCCCAAAGAGTTACATATTGCAGCTTTAATGTTGATATTATCAGGTGGGCCAAAAGCTACTTTAAAAACATGCCAATGAAAGGTTCCCAACTACAACCTTCAGTGAGTATATACATTTGTCTGAAATTTGCTCTCAAGCTGCAGAGGTCAAATATATTCTCCAGCTGGCTGCCACCTACAAGGGACCAGCGACCCGGAGTTAGGACAAGGCAGGGCGGGCATCTACAGATCAGATGCACCACTGAACGCTACAGACGAAGCCCAATACCTTGCCTGGCTACCCATTTAAATCACTCCAGCCAACTGACATTTCTTCTCCACGATGAGTCTGGATTTGCTGTAGATTTCTAGAATGCGAACACATTCTGACCGTTCTGATTGATCCCAGAAATCGATGGGTTGGGCCAGTGCCGGCCTACATGATGACGTTATCAACTTTGACACTCTGCATGGTTAAGATTTGTTAGACTATCCAATCGCTGATTAATTTGTTTTGAACAATGCCCCTCATTTTGAAGTCACACAAACGACTTCTAGGATACCCCTTCACTTATTCCACAATCTGTTGTGTTACAGCCTGAATTAAAAATGGATTAAATATATATTTTTCTCACCCATCTACACCCATTACCCCATAATGACAATATGTAAACATGTTTTTTGAAATGTTAGCAAATGTATAGAAAATGAAATATAGAAATATCTCATTTACATACAGTACCAGTCAAAGGTTTGGACACACCTACTCATTCAAGGGTTTTTCTACATTGTAGAATAATAGTGAAGACATAAACTATGAAATAACACACATGGAATCATGTAGTAACCAAAAAAGTGTTAAACAAATCAAAATATATTTTATATTTGAGATTCTTCAAAGTAGCCACCCTTTGCCTTGATGACAGCTTTGCACACTCTTGGCATTCTCTCAACCAGCTTCATGAGGTAGTCACCTGGAATGCATTTCAATGAACATGACCAAAGGACAGATTTCCACTGGTCTAATGTCCATTGCTCGTGTTCTTGGCCCAAGCAAGTCTTTTCTTCTTATTGGTGTCATTTAGTAGTGGTTTCTTTGCAGCAATTCGACCATGATGGCCTGATTCAATGTCTGAGGCTGGTAACCCTAATGAACTTTGGGACTTCCTTTCCTGTGGCGGTCCTCATGAGAGCCAGTTTCATCATAGCACTTGATGGTTTTTGCGACTGTACTTGAAGAAACTTTCAAAGTTCTTAAAGTAATGATGGACTGTCATTTCTCTTTTCTTATTTGAGCTGTTCTTGCCATAATATGGACTTGGTCTTTTACCAAATAGGGCTATCTTCTGTATACCACCCCTACCTTGTCACAACACAACTGATTGGCTCAAAGAAGGAAAGAAATTCCACAAATTAACTTTTAACAAGGCACACCTGTTAATTGAAATGCATTCCAGGTGACTACCTCATGAAGCTGGTTGAGAGAATGCCAAGAGTATGCAAAGCTGCCATCAAAGCAAAGGGTGACTACTTTGAAGAATCTCAAATATAAAATATATTTTGATTTGTTTAACACTTTTTTTAAACATCACTAGATGGGGTTGATGTTCACATAAGTGTGTTTCTGCTTTTAATCATGTTATTTTTATATTGTTGTTCCCCCTGTGTTATACAACATGCCTTGCAAACAAGAGTTTTGAATAAAAGATAAGTGGGGCATAGTTCAAATGTTGGGGAGACTCAGTGGCTGTGTTTACACAGGCAGCCCAATTCTGGGGTGCATTGTTATTTCAACGGTTGCTACATTGCGTGACGGTTTGTACTGAATGACACGTTTTCCCAAAATGGTACACACCGTTCTTCAACAGCCTTTGAGGTACGTTTGGTGGGTGTGGCCTGATCAATATGGATGTGATCATCTGAAATCGCAAAACTCGTGCAGCACATGGTAACTGCCCTCTGGGCCACCATAATCACTTTTGTAAAAAAAAATGTACAGCTGGTTGTTCAGTATAGCACTGTTTCTGTTTAATTAAACCACAGATTATCAATTATATTGACCAGATACTCAAGTGGCCACTAACAATTAAAATAAATGTCTTCAAAAATAGAAGGCATTCGGGATGAGGCAAGATCAGATGCGGGACCATTCTAGCCAATGAGAGGACAGATAAGCGTGTGAACAACAGGCACAACCGATATAAAGTGTTTTTTCCAAAAGTTGCCAGGATGTCACGTGTCCTACTTATATCAGTACACTCATAACCACCAAGGACCTAAGCATTACTTAACTATTAGATCAAGTAAGCATTACGTTTTTTGTTAAACAAATTCGACACGCATTGACCTCCATACAAAAACTCACCTGCTGGAGAACACAGATTTTGGGCCCAGTTATCCCTCTCGCTTTTCCTCGTCCTCTCCATACTGAATGCTGCCCCTGAATGCTGCCCCTGCACGCACCCCAGAATTGGTCTGCCTGTGTAAGCACAGCCTTTTAGTTGTCAATCTGTAGTCATTCTCACTCCAGCCATTAAGTGAGAATGACTACAGCACTGTTGTATTCGGCGCAGGTGACAAATCAAATTGGATTTGATTTCATCACAATGTCTGACCAGTAAAACAAACAGAAAAAGGAAACACCAACATGCAGAAGAGGGATCGGGGTCACTAAACGACCAGTGTTGGGTTCCTTGATTTTTATTACAAAATATTGATTTCCCACAATTAACAGTACATATTTAGCCAAAACAAAGAGATCGGAAACAGCCAGAGGTTTGCAATGGATGACTAACAGTGTTTACTCCAGAACAGACCACAGCAGAGAAACAGGAGTTAACTACAGCAGGGGTGGCCAATCTGACCCAGGCTTTTGTTCCAGTCAAACAGTCTGATTCAACTAGACCACTAATCATCATCTTCATTAAAGACTGACTAGATGAAATGGGTGTGTTGCTAGAACAAGACCCCACATAGACCTTTTGTGGATAAGATTGGCCACCCTCAACTACAGCATTCTAGTCTTATGCCCGCTGACTTTCAATTCCCTGTTAAAAGCAATTTGAGTGATCATGGAACTCCCAGTACCTGTGACCTGTCTGTCGCTGATATGTCCCCACTAGTCCTCACCCACACATATCCCTTTACACTCCACATCAGCCGGCATCACGTACAGAAGGATGCAACGTTCTGAATGTTGCAGACAAAAAATGTTTTGTAGAGATATTAATCCCTATTTTATTACATGACAGAACTAATGTCTGTTTTACATTAAATAAATTGTCGCCTCAGTCCTCTTTGTATTGTCATTAGGAGTTTTTGAATCAGATCGATTGGCCAAAACCATCTTTCCCTGAGTTTGACACAGGCCATGGACAACTGAAGTCTAAAGCACAGAAACAGAAGGCCAAAACTAATCTCATAACTTAAGCTGCTATTTATCATTGTGATTTAACTCCTAAGCCCAAACCTCTACCCACAGACAGACAGTTGTTTAAGCAGGTGTCCTAATCAGTGCAAACATGGATGGATCAAAAATATTGGAGGGGAGGGGGGAAACTGTTGGAAATGTCAGATATTTCGTAATGATTAATGTCTTCACACACATATCCACACACTAACAGTCACCCCTACCATCCACTAACAGTCACCCCTACCATCCACTAACAGTCACCCCTACCATCCCCACCCAGCACCCCTTCCCTATCCTGTATCCTTGCCACTCTCAAAACAGAGAAAATACAAATAAATGGAAAATGAATGATTGAATGGGCATTGGTTTGCAGTCTGTCTGTCAATGCTGTTCCAAAGGAGAACAGCAGTGTCTATAAACATGGTTCCATCTTTTGTTACTGCTACAGCCACATCTTCCATCCACTGGTCTCTCACAACTCTATATGTGTATCATCTGGTAGAGAGAGAGAGAGGGGAGGAAGGAGAGGAATTAGTCAACTGTATTTGTTTGCCAATCAGTGTGTGTGTATGTATATATGTGTGTGTGTGTATATGTATGTATGTGTGTACCTGGCTTGTCCTTCTGTGTGGTATAGTTCTCTGCTCCTCTCTCCTGGACTCTGTTCTGCAGGCGTTTGATCTCCTGGTCGTAGTCGCTCCACTCTGCTACGATACGAACAGCTGCCTGCAACTTGGGTTCTTTGGTCTGGGGGTTGTTACACTGGAGGAAGGGTTAAACATTTTAGCTTCACTGTCCAAATAAATACAGAGGGGAGTGTAAAAACACAGACATGACTAGAATCTGCACACACACACACACACACACACACTTCGTACCAGATCTATAGTCTTGGCCTTCTTCTTAGAGTTGTCGTCACACCAAGTCTCACACCAGAGCCACTCCTGAGGCAGAGACTTGATAGGAACCTGGTGGATCATATTATTAGGCAGATCCTGGGGAGAGAGAGCGAGAGAGAGAGTATAGGAAAATATTAGAAATATAAAAACATCAGTTCACATATCAGGGGTGAAGCGTATTCAACTTCACAAACCTTGTTTGGGAATCTCAAATCATAGAATGTTGTACCCACATATTCACTTTTAATACACACAGAAGCATGTGCGCGCACACACACACACCTGGTCGAGGTTGGACAGGCTGTTGGGGTCTTGACTCAGGCCTTGGTATTGTCCTCTCAGTCTGTCTCCTGCTGCTATCTTACGGAACTTCTTCAGATCTACGACATACAGAGCACTGGAGAGACAGATGGTTACACACACATATCCCTCTACTAACCCCCCCCATACACACACACACACACGCACAGTTACCTGATGTGGTATTTGCGTCCAGCGAGGTGACTCGCCCAGTAGCCAGACTTCCAGAAGCGGAATCCGTCCATCTCTCTCCGGCTCTCACAGAACGGTGTGTAGCCATACGGTGCTCCTTCAAGGTCAAAGTCACGGAGCTCCTTCAGGTCTGTACGCACTATCTGTAGGAGGAGAGAGGAAAGAGTGTACTTCTCAGGTCTACGCAAATCAGAGACATGGAGATTCAGAGAGTGTGTGTGTGTGTGTGTACCTGATCTGCATCCACGAATAAGAACTTGTCGACAGACAGAGGGAACAGTACATCCAGAAACAGGATCTTGTAACCCCAGATGATCCTCTGTTTCTCAGTCTGCTGGTGTAACCACCGCGGCCATTTGTACTGGACTAGTTCATACTGGAAACCATACTGCTCTGCCATGTACGGGATAAACTCCTGTAGGAGAGAACACACACGTTAACATAACATTTATTCTGGACTAAACTCAATATTGAAAACCCTATTCATACTGCCACATTCAAGGTAAACTCCTAGAGGAGAGAATAACACATAATATTCATATTTTATACTTAATAAATACCTTAAATGCTGGGGACAGGTAGTTTTTGAGGAACCAGAACTTGACTGGTGTTTTAGTGTTCTTCAGAACAGACAACATCATGATCCTAAGAGAGAGAACAAATAGTGGGATTAAAAACAGACAAACATCTGGAAACACACAGACACACACACACAGAGGTGCGTACCTGAGGAAACGTTCGTAGAGGTGTCCAGAGGCCACAGAGAAGATGTTGATGACGTCATCCTTCTCCTGTTTACTCTCCTCCGGCTTCACACCTCCTGTAAACCCTCTGGGGGGGGGAGAGAGAAAGAGACAAAGAGAGAGAGAGAGAGAGAGAGAGACAGAGAGAGAGAGAGAGAGAGAGAGACAGAGAGAGAGAGAGAAAGAGACAAAAGAGAAAGCGACAAAGAGAGAGAGAGAGAGAGAGCGAGAGAGAGAAAGAGACAAAAGAGAAAGCGACAAAGAGAGAGAGAGAGAGACAGAGAGACAGAGAGAGAATAAACACCATAAAATCCAGCAGAGATAAAATATCAAATAGGTATGAAACAGTAGACAGTGATGTAAAGGGTGGAGCTGGATGATTCGAGAGAGATACCTGGTGAGTGACTCCCAGAAGCCTGAGTCGTTCTCCTGAGTTCCATCACTCAACAGCTCCTCACTCAACTTCTCTGGCCTCTTCTGGACCTGATCAACAACAACACACGATCAATACATTATTTAGCCATGGACTTATTGAACAAATCTAATTCAACCTAAGCGCTAAGCTTCACTGGGACCTGACAGCAACCACCAATATGAAAGCTGTACTCTACAGCTGGGATCAGAGCAGTACCTTGACTTTGATGATCCGGCTCTTGAAGTTGTTCAGCACCACGATGAGGTCATCAGCGTCTGCTGGAGAGTCTGTTCCCTCATGACTGGAAGATAGGATGTGAGGTCAGAGAGAGGAGCAAGAGGGTGTGCATTGTGCAGGCTTTTGTTCCAGCCCAGCACCAACACACCTGGTTCCACTAGTCGTGCTAAATTGAAGACCGTGTGATATGCTGGGATGTTATCTTCAGTACCTGTAGATCTTGTAGATTTCGTCAGACCGTCCTTTCCTCAGCTTCAGTATCCAGGCTCCTGGGTTAGCCTTCAACTGGAAATAACCCTGAGGACGACAACACAACGCCCTTGTTCAACTACAACAACTTTATTGTCCATTCACAGTAGAATAGAAAGGTGTCTTCGGCTATCAACAGAGGTTAGGGTTAGAGGTCAGGGTTGGCCATGACGACGGAGTCAGAGATTAGGGTTAGAGGTCAGAGGTGACTCACCAGGTTGGCCATGACGATGGTGTCGACGATGACAGGGTCGGAGGAGGTTCCCAGGGTGAACTGGAGTCCTCTGGGGGGCTGACCTGTACTCACGTCAAAACAGTGACCCTCCACCAGCAGATGTTCCAACTCATATTCTGCTGCTACTATACTATCCACCTAGACAGGGAGAATAGATCAAGTCATTTTAAAGGTTTAATAATGGTTAACACAACAATTAGACAAATACCAAAATACTCTTAGTCCACGGTCACTACATTCTCCAACAGAAGTGGTAAAGGACAACATTCGCCAAGGCAACCTTGTAATAACTATAACACAACCCCAAAAAAAAAAAAGCATCACGAAAACATACCTCTTCCAGGTAGATATTGTCCAGGTCATATCTAGTGCGTATAGACTCCACCATCCAGCTCTCAGGGGTGTTGAGGTTGAGTGTGAAGAGGGGCGTTTGGGGCATGTCCAGGAACTTAGCCAGGGGACCAGGGGAGAAACTACCATCCGTCTGGAACACCACCTCAGGCTCCAACACATACCGGTAGAAACTGGGAGAGGAGGAGGGTTTAGAGAGGCACAGGCAAAACCCACAGACACTACCAGGGACTTCTAAGGGTAAGGACACTAAGACGCAACAGAAACGAGGTCTCTCAGCATCTCTCTGTTCAGACAGCGGGTCAAATAGGATGACCTGCATGGAGTGAAACAGTGTAGCTTGGGTCTACTCACCTTTTGAGAGGCAGGTCTGAGAGTTTGGACTGACAGTTCATAAACACGCGCAGGTTCACATTGACCAGCTTCTTCAACACCTGGTGGGGAGAGAAACATGGAAAGACAGATGGGCGTGAGACAGTATTTGGAGTGAGACAGAACTCCTAAGTGACAGTTATTTGAAGCAGTACGAACCAATAGGAGCGGAGCTAGTTTCTGGGCGTCCCTGGTTACGGGGTCTACCACGGCAACCATGTCAAAGTAGACGTCTCCCTCTGTGGGCCGGATCTTTACAGCACTGTGGACCAATCATAGACCGGACAGAGGTAAACAGAAAGTATATAGGCAATGAAGAAAAACATGAAGAAAAAGTTGTATTAGTTTCAGTACCTGTATCGGTCATCAGCAAAGGCATGTTCTATTCTGGCCTCTCCTTTGGGCTGAGAGGAGAGCAGAGAGTCAATCTTCATCACCAGGTCACTGGCCCTGTCCTCCTCAACCCCAAACTGCTGGACCTTGCTTTTGATTCGCTCTCCCGAGGTCTTCGAAATGATACTCTCCAATAGGAGGAAGTCATCTTGGTTAAAGACCTCCCCATCCTCTAGCGGACCAATGATCTGTCGGCAGAGAGAGAGAAATACTATTGTGACACTTCAATCACAATAGGAAGCGCGTGTGTGTGTGTGTGTTGCCCACTCACCCGTCCGTTGCTGATGACTGCTCTCTGTCCTTTCCCCAGCTTGAGAACGTCTCGGCAGTAGACAGCGTGAGACAGCAGGAAGTCAAACTTAGGACCTTCAAACGCACTCTTAAACAAGGCTACGTCCATACCCTGGAGAGATGGAAATTGAATGAAAAATATGATTGTTTTTAGAGGCCAGTATAGTAAAGGGTGAGACAGAGAGAGAATGGTGTATAACGTGTGTGTGTGTGAGTGTGTGTAAACTCCTTACCCCGACAGTGAACTGTGTGACGTCAGCCCCAGTCTCCAGTGCCTTAGCGGTCTCTTCTTTAGCTAGCTTGGTGATGTAGTTTTTAGCGTTGTTAGCTGTCTGGGTCTGTATGGCCGCCCATATCGCCCTGGCAACACGACTGTTCTCCTCGGATGGGCTGTCGCTGGGGTTGTTGATCAGGCCCAATCGCACGTTGTTACTCGTTTTCTGTTGAAGGCAGATTGAGGGGAATCCGTCAGATGGTGGATTTTTGGGTTGTGTTATAGTGAAATCAGTGTGACATCATTACATTTTTACATTTTAGTCATTTAGCAGACGCTCTTATCCAGAGCGACTTACAGTTAGTGAGTGCATACATTATTTTATATATTTTCATACTGGCCCCCCGTGGGAATCGAACCCACAACCCTGGCGTTGCAAACACCATGCTCTACCAACTGAGCTACATCCCTGCCGGCCATTCCCTCCCCTACCCTGGACGACGCTGGGCCAATTGTGCGCCGCCCCATGGGTCTCCCGGTCGCGGCCGGCTACGACAGAGCCTGGATTCGAACCAGGATCTCTAGTGGCACAGCTAGCACTGCGATGCAGTGCCTTAGACCACTGCGCCACTCGGGAGTGGCTTAGACCGATGCCATCATCATACCATGTGTCTGATGGCATCGTATAGTAGCTGGCGGCCGGAAGGTTGGTCAAAATCTCCCACAACCCAGAATGTGACTGGACGGATGTAGCCATCATCTAGAGGAGAGGAGGGAGAGGGAGTTGAAGAGGAGGAGAGGAGATTGGGGGAGTAAAGTGTCACAGACTTTCTTAATCCTGAAATGTATGCGGTTTGATGTTGCCGTGCCATCTCAATACTTAGTCTTTGAGCAAGACTCTCTTGAGCAAAGGCAGTTGGCAGAAACATACACAAACACACCCAAGCATGTCATTGTAACTCCCAGAAAGATGCAAGATGGTGTTATAATGTTCACATCTAGATCTATTGATGAGGAGTGAGATATGGTGAATTCACAGAACTATGGATCGCAATATTGTCTGTTGAGAGCGAGAGCGACAGAAAGCGCAGAAAAAGAAATAAGGGTTACCATGGTGGTCCTTGGGGGCCTTCCCTGACAGAACAAAAACAAACATACAGTGGAGAAAGAAGAGAATAGATAGACAAGAGATTTAGGGCCGAAACGTAGGAGCACATAACGTTTAGCTCAATAAGATAAAGCTCTGGATGTAGCTTACCTTTCTTGGTCATGTAGTTCATGCTGTTAGCCACAGCAGTGCTCTTCTCTCTGGTGTCCAGGAGCAGAAAGCGAGCGTACTCGTCTATGAAGTGGTTATCTGTCAGGAGAAAGAGGTGGTTAAGACGGTTATGTCTGTGTGTGTGTGTGTGTGTGGGTTGTGTGTGTGTGAAACTCACTGGTATTAGATAGGTCCAGGTATGTCCTGGCAGTAGACAGGATTCGGGGGTTGATACGAGGGACAACGTTGGGTTGGGTCATCATGAAATCCACCACATCTTGATCAGTGGCCAGCTCACCCTAGGAAGACACAACAAGAGAAGGTCAGTGTGTGTGTGTGTGTGTCTGTGTCTGTGTGTGTGTGTGTCTGTGTCACTCACCAGGTAGACAGCCCGTTGGTAGAAGCTGGTAGTCTCCAGTATTTTGTGCATGGTGACAGTTTCTAGCTCCTCAGGGTCTAGCTGTTCTCTCTGGTATGGCATTCCGTTGAACATCACCACTGGCAACGGACCTACCCCCGTCTGCAAGTAGTAACCACGCCCTTCCTGGAGGCCGAGATAGATAGGGAGACAATAAATGAAAATCCTACCGTTCTGTCAAGAAACATAACAGTACATAAAACCAGAACCATACCTTCCTGTTGTCGTCATAAGTGGAGTCAGGTCCTAGAATGCTGCTGACCTCCACGTAGGGAAACTTCTTCTCCAACACCTTGACTACGTCACCTACACTTAGCTTACCACCGCTAGGCACACGGTTAAACATCTAGAGAAGGAGAGAGGAGATATGCTTAATTTAAAGACTTTCCATCTGATTGGTCAGGCTGATGTTCCAGATTACTGGGATTGGTCAAAAGACTCCTCAATTATTCTCATTGGTCAGATGGGCTCACCGAGATGATGGTGTCGAAGGCGGCGGGAGCGTCCAGCTCTTCTGTGATGTAGTTAAATGCTCTGAGCAGAGCCACACCTGCATCCTCCATACCATCTATCTCATCAACATCAGACACCACAAACACCAGCCCAATCCTACAACACACACAGCAGGGTTATTAGGGTTGGGAATTGCCAAGGATCTCATGATACAATATTATCACGATACTTATGTGCCGATACGATATGTATTGCGATTCTCATGATTCTATATGTATTTGCGATTCAATACTGTGATTTTATTGCGATTCGATGTTCCAAACATTGCTCACCATATGTCTACTGCAGAGAGACAAGAGAGCCATGAGAAAACAAAATAAAAAGTCATGGAAATAAAATAAAAAGTGCTGAAAACAAATTGGCTCCCTACTTAAAAAGAAGATTGAGAACGAGCTATGAAGGAAAAATACTGGAGTTATATTGCAATAGTCAAAACGATGCGATACATCAAAAATAATACCCCCATATGTTAACTGTATCGATTCTTTCCACCTCACTAAGGGTTATACACAGTTACACACATCCACATAGAATATACAGCAGAATTAGAACCAACACGGCCTTCGCAAGACAGACACACACCCCTACCTGAGTGGGATGTTATTGCTGTAGAACATCTCAGCAACATTCAACAGCTCAGCAGAACTCTCATGGGTGGGGTCCAGAATCACCACCTAAAAAACACACACACCATTGGTTTTTGCTGTCAATTCCAAAATGTACGCAATATGTTTTGTGTACTGCAGATTCATCACACATGTTTATGCAAGTATGTTTAGTGTAGCTGTCTGACACATTTAGCATGTACTCACGAGGTTGTGGAAGTTTTTGCGGATCTGTCGTATGACTCCGGGGAAGGTTGGTCTGAGGAGCTCCTGGACATTGTAGGGCCATGAACCGTACCTGCTGTCTGTCTCCAGATTATTAATCCACTGAGAAGAGAGAGATTAGATTATCATCAAAATTATCAATGCAAAACAAGACTTGAGTTAAAAACGGTTTTTTTTTTACGTCTTGATTGTATACTGAACAAATATATAGCGCAACATGCAACAATTCCAACGATTTTACTGAGTTACAGTTGATATAAGGAAAATCAGTCAATTTAAATTAATTAATTAGGCTCTAATCTATGGATTTCACATGACTGGGCAGGGGACCAGCCATGGGTGGGCATAGGCCCACCCACTTGGCAGCCAGGCCCACCCAATCAGAATGAGTTTTTCCCCACAAAAGGGCTTTTTACAGACAGAAATACTCCTCAGTTTCACCAGCTGTCCAGGTGGCTGGTCTCAGACGATCCCGCAGGTGAAGAAGCCGGACGTGGAGGTCCTGGAATGGTTTGCGGTTGTGAGGCAGGTTGGACGTACTGCCAAATTCTCTAAAACGACGTTGGAGGCGGCGTATGGTAGAGAAATGAACATTCAATTCTCTGGCAACAGCTCTGGTGGACATTCCTGCAGTCAGCATGCCAATTGTACACTCCCTCAAAACTTGAGACATCTGTGGCATTGTGTTGTGACAGAACTGCACATTTTAGAGTGGCCTTTTATTGTGAAGATGCTGGAGGAAACCGGTTCAAAAGTATATATATTCACAGTACAACGAGTCCTATATCGACATAACCTGAAAGGCCGCTCAGCAAGGAAGAAGCCACTGCTCCAAAACCGCCATAAAAAAGCCAGACTACGGTTTGCAACTGCACATCGGGACAAAGATCGTACTTTTTGGAGAAATGTCCTCTGGTCTGATGAAACAAAAATAGAACTGTTTGGCCATAATGTCCATTGTTATGTTTGGAGGAAAAAGGGGGCGCTTGCAAGCCGAAGAACACCATCCCAACCGTGAAGCACGGGGGTGGCAACATCATGCTGTGGGGGTGCTTTGCTGCAGGAGGGACTGGTGCACTTCACAAAATAGATGGCATCATGAGGAAGGAAAATTATGTGGGTATATTGAAGCAACATCTCAAGACATCAGTCAGAAAGTTAAAGCTTGGTCGCAAATGGGTCTTCCAAATGGACAATGACTCCAAGCATACTTCCAAAGTTGTTGCAAAATGGCTTAAGGACAACAAAGTCAGGGTATTGGAGTGGCCATCACAAAGCTCTGACCTCAATCCTATAGAAAATGTGTGGACAGAACTGAAAAAGTGTGTCCGAGCAAGGAGGCCTACAAACCTGACTCAGTTACACCAGCTCTGTCAGGAGGAATGGGCCAAAATTCACCCAACTTATTGTGGGAAGCTTGTGGAAGGCTACCCGAAACGTTTGACCCAAGTTAAACAATTTAAAGGCAACGCTACCAAATACTAATTGAGTGTATGTAAACTTCTGACCCACTGGGAATGTGATGAAAGAAATAAAAGCTGAAATAAATCATTATTTCTACTATTATTCTGACATTTCACATTCTTAAAATAAAGTGGTGATCCTAACTGACCTAAGACAGGGCATTTTTACTAGGATTAAATGTCAGGAATTGTGAAAAACTGAGTTTAAATGTATTTGGCTAAGGTTTATGTAAACTTCTGACTTCAACTGTATATATATATATATATATATGCGCATGACACAGTTGGATGGTTAGGGTTAGATAAAGGGGTAGGCGTGTCTTACGTTGATAGCAGGGTTGCGGATGTCCACAGCGTAGTCCGAGTCAGAAGGCTGTACGTTGAGCTTGAGGATGTCGTGGATGTAGGGAGTCTCGATGAGGAGAGAACGCAGACCTTCCATCACCCTGGCCTCACTACGGAGGACCTCAAACACACTGGAAACACACACACAGTCAGTCTCTGATCTTGTAGTGTTAGTGTAATTTCATTTTTTTACTAACCTGAAGATGTCCTGTGTGTGTGTGTGTGTGTACCTGAAGATGTCCTGTGTGTCCAGGTCTATGTGTAGTCCGTTGATGAAGAGAGCAGAGTCTCCAGGCTGCAATCCCAGAGTTCCCTTAAAGAACTGGAGAGAGAGAAGAAGAGAGGTACAGTCAGTACATGTTAATGGATAGTAGACAGACAGTGAAAGAGAGCTATGAATGACTGAACTCTTACCTTCTGGTTCTCTTCCATCTCTTTACGTATCTCAGAGCTGACCACTGTTTTAGTGATGGACCTGAGGTGAGAGAGACCAATTATCACACACTATACAGAGATAGGAAAACGTGTTTGTTTGTGTGTGTGTGTGTGTGTGTGTACCTAGCCTTGGTAGGGAAGTTCTGACTGAGGTCTCTCATGACATTCAGGGCATCTGAAGATGGAGCAGCCAGGATCCGAGCTGCAGTCTGGAAACTCAGATCTGACACATATGAAAAGAGAGAAAAATGTAATATAGCGAGAGAAAAAAACCCAGTGGGAGGAGATGATGATTACTGTAGCTACGGTTGTCTTGATGAGATATGCAGGAGAAGAGGCAAAGAAAAAATTAAGTCCCGCCCACCTTGCATCTGCCAGACTTTGAGGGGAGCCATCTCATTGGTGCTCTCCACCAGGTGTTTCCTTAGCTCCTTCAGCTGCTCCTTCAGCTCAGGGTACAGAGTCCTGGAGAGAGGGAGAGGAGAGGTACAGAGAGGAGAGTGAGATGGAAGAAGAGAGGGGGGAGATGATATAAAAGCGTTTCTCAACCCATAACGCTCCAAAGCAGAGTGGGTTTGTGGAATAGCATTTCATGTTGGTAGGTTACTTACTTCAGTTTTCCAAAGAGGAATCCCTGGACCTCATCCACTGGGTCATTCTCTCCCATCAGTGTAGCATTCATTTCCGCTCCCTGGACCTGGGTATCATCCTTAGCCTTGTATTCCTGGTTCTTGATGGCCAGCTCCACTCCATAACCAGACAAATACACTCTACCACTGCTGGGAGACTGGGAAAGACAGAAAGAGGAAAAGATTAACATGAAATGCTATCGCAATTATGTTTTCCCATCATGTGTATTCGTATGTTTTTCTTACAGCCAGGTAGTGACGAAGCACATATGTGGCCAGTCCCTTGTTGGCTTTGGACAGCATCAGCTGATGGAACATTGTGAATTCCGAACTTCCAATCTCGGCATACAGGATAACAACCGGAGCGTCGGGATTTGATCCCGGGAACCTGTGATCGCTTTTGAATAGATAGGGCTTGGGCCTGGGGACAAACAGGGATGAGATAAGGACTTGAAATTCATTATTATCACTTCAATAGAGGTCTTTATCAATCAAAGTGGATATTCCCAGTTTCTGTGTGGGTGTCTCCCAGTGTGTTTGAGTGTCCCAGTGTGTGTACCGTTCTGGTGCGTTCTCCATCAGTGCAGCCAATTTCTCCGTGTCACATGACTTCTCTCCGTGGACATTGAAGAAGGCTGAGCAACCAGAGGGAGGGGGCTCGTTGGACGCTATCTACAGGAGAGAGGCGAGAAACAGTGATTATACACACACACAGAGAGGGCGATAGTAGTCATTTATTAGTATTGTAGTAATATTACTTGTTGGAAGGAGTGTACAGTAGCAGAGTGGGCCCTGAGAGAGAGGGCGAACTTGAGCATGTTGAGTTGGACTGTGCTGAGCAGAGCACTGGCTCTCTTCACGATCAGGTCGTAGTACGCCTGGTCTGTATCTGTAACAGAGCGCCACTTTAATATATATTCCAGAGACCAAGTGCTACATACATCAACATTATAAGTGAAAGAAAACATTAAGGCTACCATCATGTTCCCCTTTGATGTTCTGATTGGCTTCGACAAAATCCCAGAACTTCTCCTGACTCTCTTCTGCCAGGAACTCACTGAGAGAAAGAGGGAGTGGGGGGCAGGGGTGAAAAGAAAGAGGGGGTGGAGGTGGGGGTGAAGAGAAAGAGGGGGTGGGGGTGAAGAGAAAGAGGGAGTGGGGGGGCGAGGACAGGGGTGAAGAGAAAGAGGGGGTGGAGGTGGGTGTGAAGAGAAAGAGGGAGTGGGGGGGCGGGGGCAGGGGTGAAGATAAAGAGGGAGTGGGGGGGCGGGGGCAGGGGTGAAGAGAAAGAGGGGGTGGAGGTAGGGGGAAAGAGAAAGAGAGAGACATCATGACACCTGCATGACTGCATTCCAGAACGTTGAGCGAGTCTGCAGAATTTTCCAACGGACTCAAACCTACATAGACAGATGTGTTCTAGATGTGGTGTCTTGTGTAGGTGTTGAGCATAATGTTACCTGGCCTCCAGCAGCAGAGGGGTAGAGGCCCACTTGGTGGTGAGACTGGTGGTGACAGCCTTGGAGTCAGCTCCTCCAGACACCACTGGTAACAGGGACAGGGACAGGAGCAGGGCACAGTGCTGCCACATCCTGGGGCCTGCAGAGGAGAGGGAGAGGAGTTTGGGGAGAGGAGGAAAGGAGAGAAGGAAAGGAGAGAAGGATGAGGGAGAGCAGTAGGAGAAAAGAGAACTGGGAAGTGTCAGTGGAGACTGACTGGCAACCACGCAAGTAATGCTGTTGCCTTACCTGTTTTATGTGTAAATTGCAGCAAAGAAGTGTTTGAGATTGTATAGCTGTATATTTTCTATTATAAACTGGGTGGTTCGAGCCCTGAATGCTGATTGGCTGACAGTCGTGGTATATCAGACCGTATACCACTGGTATGACAAAACATTTATTTTTACTGCTCTAATTTCCGTTGGTAACCAGTTTATAATAGCAATAAGGCAGCTCTGGGATTTGTGGTATATGGCCAATATAACACGGCTAAGGGCTGTATAAGAACAGCCCTTTGCCGTGGTATATTGGCCATATAACACACCCCCTCGGGTCTTATTACTTAATTCTAATCGGCCCAAAATTAGCTGTGCAGTTAGTACACCTGTTGTGCTTGTAAACACTGCACCAAGAATTCTAACCAATTAGAGCGCTCAGCGTGGCTGTTCGAGGGAGAACTATCCAATGAGCATCTTGACAGCACATCCGGATTGCTTCAATAAAATCCGATATGGTCAGTTAGCTAGCAACTTAAAATTGAAGGGTTAGCTATACTTTAGCTATTTAAATTATGTGTCAGAAGTTGACACCATACGTGTTGGTCTTGCTCTGTGTGATGTTTAACTTGCTGTCGCTTGCTAGCTATTCGTTAGAAGAACTGCAGACTTCATTGGTTAGCTTGCTAGTACACAAGATAACCTAGCTAGTTAGTTAGCGTCAGAAAACGTGCAAACTTACAAACAATTTGTGGTGCAACCTCTGACATAGTAGCTAGCTGGGACACCCTACATAATGTTTTGCTAACATTAAATGAATGTAAATGTACATACCGAAACCGGCTTGGTAACTTCCCGCATCTGCCATGTTCAGAGGGTACTGGGAGTGGGTGGGGTCCTGGCAACTTCATTGTAGGTAGACTGCTGTTTTTGCCTATTCAAAATGAAATAAAAAGTATTGTCTGTAAGTTTACCTTTCTTTTTACTGGATATTTGACTACCCCTTGTTGTATATAATGGAATTCTGTTTTATAACTTAAATGAATCAAAGCAGTACAAAATACAATATTTGCTACATTTACCCGCTGCTTCAAGTTGGCGACTTAGGCGCCATGTTGGCTCAAAAGGGCCAAGATTTCGTTAGTTTCACTAGCTTATAGAGGTTTTCAATGCATTTTGTGGCACTGCAATACTGTTCAATGTATCAACAGAGATGTTAGAAATAGTTACTTCTCCGCATCTAATGTACCAAAACCAAGCCAACTCAACAGGTAACTCCCATTGAATTGCTAGACTTTCCACTTGTATTTTATCATCAGAAGCATTGATTTGTGATTGAATGCCCTTATAAAACAAAACCAATATTATTCCCATGTCCCTATACACCATCTTCTCTCTGGACCATAATTAACTGAACCAGGTGTGTTACTGCAGGGCTGGAATGAAACCCTGCGCACCCAGTAGCTCTCCAGAACCAAAGTTGTTGGAGAACCCTGGCCTATAGAGGGAGTTTCCACCACGAGGGGGAGTGATTGAGCCAAGTGCACGCCAAAGAGATAGTTACAGAGGATGCAACATTATATCTGTCTCTTTATGGCCTCAGTGAGAGCATGGGCAGCGCCATTGAGGCCATCTCCATTTTTAAGTAGTCCATTTTCTTCTACTACTGCTTATATGAGTTGGTTAACAAACTGAAAGGGTGCATACTGCCACTTGGAGTGTGTTGTTTGAACAGGCATAAAGCCAAGGTTGCTGATTTACTGCCACCTGAAGTTATGTAATGTTTGCTCAGGAGTATAATTCATTGGCTGATCCTTCCTGATGACCTGGGTGGAATTATGTGATCATTCCTTAACCCATAGGAAGTCCCACGCAGTTGACTACTTCAAAATGGTGAATGTCATCAAATCAAATACATTTGTATTTGTCACATGCTCCGAATACAACAGGTGTAGACTTTACCAGGAAATGCATACTTACGAGTTCTTTCCCAACAATGCAGAGTTAAAAAGTAAGACAAATTAGCAAAAAAGGAAATAGTAACACAATCAAATAACGAGACTATATACAAGGAGTTCCGGCCCAGAGTCAATGTGCAGGGGTACATTTTTACATTTTAGTCATTTAGCAGACACTCTTATCCAGAGCGACTTACAGTTAGTGAGTGCATACATTATTTTATTATTATTTTTATATACTGGCCCCCCGTGGGAATCAAACCCACAACCCTGGCGTTGCAAGCACCATGCTCTACCAACTGAGCTACACAGGGACCGTGCAGTTGAGGTAATTGAGGTAATTGAGGTAATATGTACAGGTAGGGCTAAAGGTGACAAGGCAATCAGAACAGATCATAAACAGAGTAGCAGCAGCAGCATATCTGAAGACTGTGAGTGTGTCTGTGTGTGGCCTCAATATGCATGTGTGTGTGTGTGTTTTGTGTGTGTGAGCGTATCTAGTCGTATGTGGTCTATGTGTGTGTTTGAGTGTCAGTGTAGTATGTGTGAGTGTGTAGGTAGAGTCCAGTGAGTGTGCATAAAAAGGGGGTCAATGCAAATAATCAGGGTAGCCACTTGATTAACTGTTCAGCAGTCTTATGAGTTGGAGGTAGAAGCTGTTCAGGAGCCTTTTGGTCCCAGACTTTGCACTCCGGTACAGCTTGCCGTGCGGTAGCAGAGAGAACAGTCTATGACTTGGGTGGCTGGAGTCTTTGACAATTTTTAGGGCCTTCCTCAGACACCGCCTGGTATAGAGGTCCTGTATGGCAGGGAGCTAGGCCCCAGTGATGTACTGGACCGTACACACTACCCTTTCAATGGCACTGCCCTTAGCAAGGACTCACATGAAACCACACACACATACACTGCCCGTGCTAAAACAGCCTCTATGGTGCACACATCAGAATCACCTTAATTTGCCAAGTAAATTTTCACATACCCAGAATTTGACTTAGTAAAGTGCTGTTGCTAGCAATAGACAAAATATACAGACAGAATATAGACAAAGACATTTACATAATCTACAGGTTATTGCGACTGCAGTCTGTAGCCCGTCTGCTTTAGAAATTACAGAGGAGAGAGGGACAGTTCCTGAGGGACTGTACTAGCTCACTGGTTTGATTTAATATTAATACAAAAAAGAGCTGGTCCATTAATTATCCTGTCAGACCTGACCTTCACACACACCAATAGACACACCACACACATGCATGCATATGCACACACACACATGCCCTCCTCCCCCACAAACACACGCCTGCACAAATGCACGCACGCACACACACACACACACACTCCCCACAGGGGCCGTTTGTCTGTCAGGAAGGTGATGTCTCCAGATGAATTATGGGAGGTGGTGGTCATCTCTGGGGTCAAATATAAAATGGCGTCCCTGGGGCGGGAGGTCGGCGTTCTCCCTGGCTGCTGTCGCATCTCGCACGACTGCCATTTTATAGGTTACACACAGGACCAGCCCTGTGCAAACAACCCCAATTAAACTCACTCACATTAATATTAACACACTCTACCGTGTGTGTGTGTGTGTCTGTAGTTTCATGTGAGTCCTTGCTAATTAAAGTCTCCATGTCAGTATAATGGGGGTGAGGAGAGGTCCCCAACATGAAGCTAATTCATCACCAGTGAAGCGGGGAACACTATCATCAACATTAACCTGTAGAGAGGAGAAGGAGGCAGTTGTATTTGGTATTAATACTGACTAGTCACAGTTATTGATGATATATTGCCATATCCTTTAAATATTATTCAACATATTAAATCACAAATAAGAGAAACACGTTAAGGCCCATCTCTAACTTGTAATCCATATAGCTTCCATTGACTCAGCCGAACCCACATCTGCTTTCCCGTTAGGTGTGTGTGTGTTTGTGTTCATAAATGTCTGATTAATGGTAATTCAAACAAGGGTCCACGAGGACAAGCCATGGGTCATGGCCAGATAGACTGGACAGTATAAATCTCTGGGTGTTAGTGGGGCTGTACTGTATATTCCTTTTATATTCAACGAGCAACACAGACACACAGACTCTGGGCTATGTTCTTTATAAGGACCCTCGATAAACTCAATGTCACAGGGGTACGATTTAGCCGTGACCTCGTAGGATGGCTGGGCCCTGATGAGATGGTAGGTCACGATATGGCCCGTTTTTCATTTTCCTATAGAAGAATCCACACGTGATAGATAGGGGAGTTGCTCCTAAGCCTTTATCTCTTGGATTCCAGTCCACTGCAGCTCACCCATTACTGTTAGTTTTACTTGTCTGCTCTTGGAATGACAGAGACCCAGGGTTTGTGTGTATTGACACAAAGGGCCAATCAGAGATTATAGACATGGAGTATACTATAGTACACCACGTACTCTCTGTCCAGGGAAATATTGTTCAGCCCTGTGGTGTGTCAGAGGTCCATGCACTTTAGGGACCACAATAGATATGTCTCTGACTTTGTGTTTTCCCCTTTGTGTTTTTTAAATGTATGCATTATGTATGTGTGTTTTAACTGGCAAACAAAATCAATCAAAGATCACGAGTTGCTATTCATCATGAGTGAAGGCTGATTATGACCGCTGCTTCCTTACAGCTTCCCCCACTACCCTCCTCTATCTACTACCCTCTACCCTTGCTCCTCCTGTCCTTGATCCATGAAGGGAATTAAGTGTTATTTACACCTCTACCCCCCCCCCCCCCCCACCACCTCTAAAGACCTGACTGTACTTGATCCCTTACCCCCCCCTCCCTCCCTCCCTCCCTCCCTCCCTCCCTCTTCTCCTCAATCCACCAAGGACATGAAGCTTAATTTACACCCTTCAACCCCCCACCATCCACTCAAGCCACAGGTCGTTCCCGCCTTGTTCTGGCTGGCCTTGGATGGAGATGTGTGTGTAGATTGAAGTAGACAGTAGATCAGTGTTGACAGGACCAAGCCTGTCATTAAGAGGGAACAGGCTGTTTTATGGGAGGTCAAGGTTCTGCAGTTTTACTGTGTGTGTGAGACAGAGAGAGAGAACAAGAGAGAGGACGAAGGAGAGAACGAAAGAGAGCGTGTATAACATATATACAGTATATGAGTGCACCAATGTTTGAAATAATAACACAAAAACAAGAAGGGACAGTTTTTACAAAAACAAAATATTTTAATTGGTGGTTTGATGATCCATTTTTGCAATCCTAAGAAAAATTGCCTGAATGGTGCTGATAGAGGGAACGGGACATCATCTGCAGAACATTTTAAAAACCAGTTGAGACAAACAGGAAGTAAATGTTTGTGATGGAAATGTTCAATTTCATTCAACAGAAATATTTAAGACACTAGTTTAAGCGATAAGATTATTGTAAAGGAAGTTTATAGCAGTTTGACTTGTTATAATTAGAGTTTGAGGTACTCCAAAAGCTTTCCCATCACTGAGTAGTGCTGTATTTTGGACATAGTGGTATTCATGTGGGAGTGATACACAGTCAGATATTAAGGTTACCTAGGGTTAAGGGAAACCTCTACCTCAAGCGTTTGTCTGTGTGTGTCTCTCCCTCCATGTTAGGAATAAATTAAAAGGGTTCCCATTCAGCCCTCTAACACTATGGCAAGATATTTGTCATATAGCAAGTCAATCACACAGCAATGCTACAGCCATTCACTCTCTCTATCTCACACGCAATCACACAGGATATTTACAAATGCATACACACTATTTACACTGACATACATGTATGCGCACACAGACAGACACACACAGAAAAAGTAGTCAAAAAATAAAAGTGGTGTGAGCCTGAAATATCAGGTAGACCTAATAGTCATCATCCCTGTCCTGAGAGGCACTAACTACCAATCAAAAGTAGGGTTGGGCTCAGTTCCATTTACACTCCATCAGATCAGCTCGAACATTCATCACATCCATGGCCACATCTCAAATCACACCCTATTCCTTATAGGGTCACATAGGGCTCTGATGAAAAGTAGTGCACTATATAGGGAATAGGGCATCAGAAGTAGCATACTACATAAGGAATAATAAGGTGTTGGAATAGAAGTAGTGCCCCACAAAGGGAATAGGATGTCATCTGGATTCATTGTTACCCAGTTGTCTACACACATATATGCATAATGTCCCCATAATGTTTAAATAATGGCTATGGTCCATGGTACGTCCATCTAGCGGTTACATTTCCTTTAAAAAACATCAAAATAAAAGAATCACTTGTTTCTTTAGGCAGTAACATTGGTCTCAGCGTCATTACAATTCTGCTTTAAAAGAAAGCATAAAAACTAAATAATAACCAACATAGTAGTTCTAAAATGAGAATTGCGTCATTAAGACGCATGTTCTTCTCCGAAATGGTGGCTGATTTTCAAGCAAAAAGCTTTTTATACATAGTCCAACTCTTGCTTTACGTACAGTCTTTTTTCTGTAGATGTCACATTTTCACTTCCTTGGTTCAGCTCAGCCAATGGAAAACTTACTGTCCAATGGTTCAAAGCTCTGCTCTCTGATTGGAGCTATACATCCAGGAAGTACAGAGGTTTCCCCACTATAGTTATTTTCACCGTGCCCTTTACGTGGGGTACCAGAGAGAGACAGAGGGAGAGAGAGGGAAGGATGAAAGCCGGTTGTCAGCGACATTCAATCCATTTCACTCCTCTACTTCAGTCTCCATAGCTACCCTATACACTTTCACCCCTGACCTCTAACCTCCGATGAGTGTGTGTGTTACCAACGATTCATTATCTGGTTCATATAGTCTTCTGTCGGTAATCTCCCTCCCACCTCCTCTGTTCTCCCCCCTTCCTCTGGGTCCTCTACTTCTCCCTCTCCTGGTCCAGGGGTTTGTTTTGATCTAGAAGGCCACAGGCCCACTACCAGACCTTGACCCTCGACCCCTAACCCCTGACCATTGTGGTTCTGGTTGTGGGTCCTGAGTCGTTGCAGCCGTCGTTCCTGCTGCCTGGTGTACTGGTATCTCTGCTGGAACAGGTCTCTGGCGTAATCATACAGCTCCATGTCCAGCTCATTCAGCTCCTCGATGCGCTGCACCTGGAGTACAGAGGGAGGGAGGGAGGGAGGGAGGGAGGGAGGGAGGGAGGGGAGGGAGGGAGGGAGGGAGGGAGAGCGAGATGGGGAGGGAGGAGAAGGTCAGTTTACAATCCATTCCTGATGCAAACATCTGTGGATGGTGGAGCATTGTCTGTTCAACTTTGTTCAACAATTGAACAACCAAGTACAGCCAATATGGTGGAAAACTCTGAAAAGGGCACAGGATCCTGGTGTGATAAAACATTCCAAATGACAAAACACACACACTCACCGTAGTGTTGTCCAGATCCACTCCGGCCGCTCTGGTGCTGTTGTATTGCATAAAGGGTCGTATGAACCTCAGTCTGAAGGTGCGTTCGAACAGGAACTGGGTTTTCCTCTGGTACTCTGTCAGGCCGAAGAAGGCCATGTCCCTCAGGTTCTTCTTAGCAGAGTCTAATAACAGCTGGGACCGCCTCTGCTCTGGGACTGTAGACATGTTGTAGCAGCCTACCAAGCTCAGGTCCGCTAGCATACGAACCTACAGGAAAAAGTAAAGGTAGGTTAGTACATTTCAACATTGTGTGGACCATAAAATGAGTCTATCCTCTCCAAATGTGTGTGTGTGTGTGTGTGTGTGTCCATTCATTGGTCTCTCACCTGTCTGTTATTGGCCAGGTTATAAGGGCAGTCCATGAACTGCTGCAAGGTACATCCTGACCAATCAGAACCCTCGTAGCAGGCTGGTAGTTCCTCCGGCGTAGGGGTACGTCCATCACACATGTGTAATGAGGTCTTCCACGTCGCGCCCCTCTGGACGTGTCTCCATTCGCTGAGGTACCGAGACACTGGGTCCCTTAAGAGGGTTATGTAGTAGAATTTCCTAAAGGAGGAGAGAGAAGAGAGATGAGGGAGAGAGCAAGAGAGAGGTTAGTGGTAGTCTAGTGGTTAAGAGCATTGGGCCAGTAACCAAAAGGTTGCTGGTTCGAATCCCTGAGCCAACTAGGTGAAAAATCTGTCGATGTGCCCTTGAGCAAGGCACTTAACCCTAAATGCTCTGGATAAGAGCGTCTGCTAAAATGTAGATGTACTGATAACTTTTACTGCGTAGTTCCACAAATAGCCAAAGGGTGGCAGTGTTTGCAATGGTTTGTTACTATCGTTCCAATCCCTGGGAAATACAACTCATTGGAACCAGGGGGAAAGCGAGAGAGCGATTGGCTAGGGTCAGTGTTCAGGCTACGGTGCAGGAAACTGCTGGCACAGGCACAGTACACACAACATAAAAACAATACTCTCACCCCCCCCCCCCCCCCATCCCCAGATGCAGTATGAGTCATCTCTCAACAGCAGGGTAGATACTCTGGAGGAAGACGAACCCCACTAAGCCACCTCAGACACACCTGTGTGTGTGCCCATGAGAGAGAGGATGTTTTTCCTGTGATGTGTTATTGTCTTTACGCCATAGTGGCGTACACAGACACTCCTTATCCTGTCATACTGGTTGTATCACATCATCAATGTTTACACCTAACTCAGGAATGCACACGCACACACGCACAGTAATACAGGTGCAAGGAGAGGGCATCACAACAAGGGGAATGGAGTGTGATCTTTGAAGACTGTCCCAGACACGCATGCACACCATCTCCCCATCGTCTCATTAGAAGACGCCTCAGTATTGCTCAGAGAAAAGTCCCCTTTACAGTACAGTACTTGATAACCGGACATGTTTCTCTCTCTCTCACACACAGTATGTTGATTGAGAAAGTGAGAGAAAACATGAGCTAGAGAAAGTAACAAATAAAGAGAAGGAGAAAGAGAGAGAAATATGAAGAGAGAGAGTGGGCGAAGGAGAAGAATGTTCAATTAGTTTTGTAATCCAGTGAGAGCAGCAGTGGCCAGAAGCCAGAGTGATTTATCAAAGTTATGGCTTCTGTTCTAATGAGAAAAGCCATCAGCAGGCTCAGCTATATCACCAGCTACAAAAAAACACAATAAATAAATAAATGCATATATGCAATGTTGTTGTCTTTGTTGCATAATAATATAAAAGAACAAATATCCAGCAAGGAATTCAAATCTGCTCTTAACCCTGGCTTGAAGCCACCTGCAGTGGGATCAGCTACTGGAGTGTGTGTGTGTGTGTGTGTGTGTTTTCTACCAGTGCAGGTCTCCATGTTATCATAAGGAAACAGTGCTTGTCTCCTGAGGAAATCCCAAGCTTCCTGCTCTAGAACACAAACCTCTGGCTTCTCTCTCTCACCTCCCTCATCCTCTCCTCTCCCTAGACACTTTCTAAATCAACACCCCCATCCCTCTGCACGCTTCTCCTCTCACCTCCCTCCCTCCTCCCTCCCTCACCCCTCTCCTCTCTACCCCCCCCTTCTCTCTCTCTCTCTACCAACGCTTTCTCTCTTCCACCCTCCCCCCCCCCTCTTACACCCTCTACCCTCCCTCCTTCCTTCTCCACCACCCCCCCCCCTCCATCCCCCTCCTTCCCCCTCCTATCCACCTCCCTCCTTCTCCCCACCCCCCCTCCTTTCTCTCACCCTCCTTTCTCTCTCCTCCCTATCCACCCCCCTCCGTTTCTCCCCAACTTTCTCTCTCTCTCGACCCCCCCTTTCTCTCCACCCGCCTTTCTACCCACCCTCCTTTCTCTCTCCTCCTCACCCTCCCCTTTCCTCCCTACCACCCTCCACCCTCCCTCCTTTCTCTCTCTACACACCCTCTCCTCTCCCTCCATTTCTCTCTCTCTATCCCCCTCCCTCCTCTATCTCTCCTCCCCCCTCCTTTCCTCGTCTCTACCTCCCTCCTTTCTCTCTCTAAACCTCCCTTTCCTTCTCTCTCCTCGCTCTACCCACCCTCCTTTCTCTCTCTCTACCCACCCTCCTTCTCTCCTAACTCTCCTCTACCACCACCCTCTCCTTCTCCCTCTCTCCCCTCCTTTCTCTTTCCACCCTCCTTTCCCTCTTTATCCTTCTCTCCCTCGATCCTCTCATCTCTTCTCTATCCTACCTTCCTCTCTTCCCCGTTTCTCTCTCAATCCTCCCTCTCTCCCCCCTTCTCTTGCTGTCCTCCCTTTCTATCCCCCCCTCACGTCATCTTACTCAAATCACTGCAACATTCTGCAGTAACAAAAAGAAGAAATATGCAGAGAAAACATTTCTCCCCAAATTGTTCTTTCCTCACCTACTGTCAAAAGACATTTCCCCTCTAAGCAAGGAAAGGGAAGCATCCACACACTGTCTGTTTGGCTGTGGCTGTATTAAGCTGCTTATTTCTTTGGCGGCAGAGATAAGTCAATCCAAACTCATATTTACACATGAAGAGAGAGAGAGGGAGAGCAAGAGTGAACTGCCAACATTTATTCCTGTAACGATTCCCAAATATGTGTGTATGTGAAAAGTATCAGTGTGTGTGTGTGTGTGTGTGTGTGTGTGTGTGTGTAGTTCTTTCTAGGGAAAGCCCTTGGCCTGTCTCCTCTCCACACCCCTCAGCCCTCTCAGACTGTGGGAGTCAGAGCCAATGGAATGTACTAGCTGTACATTCTGATGATATCAGCCCATGTCATCAGGGTGTGTGTGTGTGTGTAAACTGATTCCCTTGACCTCAGTATCTGGGGCAGGCAGGCATCAAGAAACAGCTTGTTTTAGGTATTTTCCCAGCAAAACAACACACACACACACACACACACACACACACACAGCGTTAGGATAGGGTTGAAGAGGGAGTTAAAGGCAGGAGGGGAGAGGTGAGTGAGTGACTGGCTTTAAGGTAGGTTGGGGTAATCAAGGACTGCTTAATGAGGTTAACAGTGACAGATGGCGTTAGTGACACACCCCCCCTCCCCTCAGGCCAGGATTAGTGTGTGTCATATCGTGGCTGGAGACGGGAGTGTGAAATTGGAGTGATAAGGTATTTAACATTTAAACACTCTAGACCTCCCCTCCTCTTCCTCTCCTCCTCCTCTTCCTCATCTCCTCTTCCTCGCCTCCTCCTCTTCCCTCTTCCCTCTTCCTCCTCCTCTTCTTCCTCTCCCTCCTCCATAGTATTACCACTAGTCTCTGTCCGTGTCGTGGAAAAGGTAGGACATGGTTAGTGTGTTTAAACACTGTTCTATAAGCGACTACGTATTTACTTAACAAGGGGATAATCCCCTAAACCAATCCAATAAGACAGTCTGTCTGCCCCCTCGCCAGCACCCTCCTAACCTTATTACCTAACTAACCTCAAGAGGTAATAGTCAAGTCTAGTCGAAACAAAGAAGAGAGACAGAGAGAGTGGTAGAAAGAGAGAAGAGCCCTACAGGCAAAAATACCATTTCGACACCATGCATATCTGCTTGTTACAGACAGACGAGTCAACAGCCATCCGGCCTAGTGCTTTCTGGGCCCGGAGAGAAGCCTGGGTCTGGATTAGAGATTCTGGCAGGGGACTGAGTGTTTTCCCTGGGGAGAGGGAGGGGGTGAATGGGGGGTAAGGATGAGTGATGTGAGCGTGTGTGTGTGTGTGTCGGGGGTCTCTGCCAAACATGGCCCACCTGTTTAAAGAAAGCCTAGGGGCTAATGAGCCATGCCTGGGGGAGTGTGTGAGTGTGTGTGTGTGTGTGTAGAGGAGGGAGGGGGCAACAACAGATTCCTAGGAAAAATGGAAAGACAGGAGAAGAGAGGAAAGGGGGGTATAATGAAATATTGTGCAACAGGGGCAACAACAGTCTTTCTTGTACAGAGCGGGGTGTGTGTTCCCCCACATAAAGAGCAGGGTGAAAGAGGCCTTTTGTCTGAGAGTGTAACTTGAGCTCCAAGCTTCACACAGACGTGCATACGCATAAGAACACGTACACACACAGACACAAAGGTGACCAACATAATGACTGAATTGGGAAGTCAGATTTGTCCCAACATTTTCCCAACACAAATGTATGCCCACAGGCACGCACGCTACACACCACCCACACTGGTGGCAGCTGCAAACTCAGAGATTAAGGCCAGTGTGACGGACATGCTTATGGCTGCAGCTCAGAAAGATCGAGAGAGAAAATAGAGAGAATGAAGGAGAGAGATAGAGAGAGAAAACTAAAAGATAATATTAAGTGAAAATTTGCATCAGGTCATTAAAGCCACACTCTGTAAGTGGGCCAGCAACAAATCAAAGGATAAACTTAATTAATTGAAATAACTGGATAACTTAAACTGTGGCTTTAAAGTGTAAAGGAAGCCAGTTGCATGTTCAGGCGTTCTGTTGGTGTTTAAACCCCTACTTTACTTTGTAGATCTGACTACTGCTAGAGCTAGAATTGAATTTCAGTTCCTCTGAGCTGAGCTAATGTTCTTCTCTCTCACCCCCCCCCCCCCCCCCCCCCTCTCCGTCTATCGATCTCTTTCTCCCTATGATGCTATCAAAAAAGAAGAGGAATGAGAAAAGGGGAGTGAAGAGGAGAGAGAAAGAGATAAGCTGAGTGTCTTTGTGTGATCAGTTCATTGATATGACATGTTGATTCTCTCTGCTCAGACTAGAGCCTGCATCTCTCCATTCTCCCTCTCCTTCCCCCTCTTTAATCCCTGTGACATCTCACCCCCCTAATCAACCCTTCACCTCTCCTCTCATCCCTCCCCTGATCCAGACAGATGCTCCCCTGCGATGCCCTCCTCTTTGTGTGTGTGTGTGTGTGTGTATATTTGTATGTGTGTGTGTGTGTGTGTGTGTGTGTGTGTATATTTGTGTGTGTGTGTGTGTGTGTGTGTGTGTGTGTGTGTCCTTGGCAGACGCTCCCCTGCGATCCCAATCCCAGATCAGATGCACCGGAATTCCGAGCCGGCCCAGCTGTCGTCTTGGCAATGCTCCGTGATTGTC